CTTGTGTGACGTATCGCGTGGTGCCTCACAATTAGTAGTGCCAAGCGAGATTAGATGAGACGTTTTTGCCGCGTTGCTCAAGCTTTTCCACTCTGGCATCCGCACTACCCAATGCGTCTTCAGCGAGCGCTTCTTCTGGCCAAGCATGAACGCTTATGTCCGCCAGTGGACTCGTTCTTGTTTGGACTGTCAGAATGCCAGACTCGGACGGCACAAAAGGGTCCTCATTTGCACTTTTCTTCCACCCGACGGACGTAATGCACATGTTCATATCGATGTGGTAGATCCTTTACCAACATCCCGCTGTTGCGAATCATTGCAACTCCCCTATTTAATATGACCACAGATTCGGTGTCTGACGCCTTTTTGAACACTGTCTATCCCTTTGCGGCATCCCCTCCACGGTTATCACCGATCGAGGCCAGAAATGGGGTCTTGATTTTTATAGCCTTGTAGCGACCTAGTATTTCCTAGCCATACTTTGCTCACATGCCCCACGTGTCTGACTCTCGTGTACACAAGCGCGTGCGCGCCCCAGATTGTCAAATCCTCTGTTCAAGGTCACCCTCTGTCTAGCTCACTGGCTTACCTCTTCCCAAGGCCAGTCCCCAACAATGACCATGGTGCGGGGATTGAATACGATCAGACACTCCCGGAGCAGGCGACCTACGGCCTGTTGTAGACATCCCGACCCGGCGACTACACCGACCGCAATGCAACTCTGGACTCCGGCCCACTCATAGCTGGAGTGCACTCATCTGGGGGTCACTTACTCATTATTTATATTCTACTTAGTAAGATCCTTCATTAAATTATCCATAACACTGGCATTCCACGCCTGTTCATATCTACTACCTTTTATTCGTTGGGATAAGTTATATCGTCTATTATCTGGCCGGATTACTTCGTATTCCACAGCCTTAACGACCTCATCGGACACTGTCGCATACGCACGACAGCATACCACCCCTCATCACGTGGTCTATAAAAATGTCCATGCGAAGCCTCGTTCCGAGCTCACGATAACCCTTCCCATTGGAGCGAGCATCT